TCGGTGACAAAAGAAGTTTTTTCTTCATCTGCGGGGTCCATAGGAATCTGATTATAATCTGAATATGCGTCCAGAAAGGTTAAACGCTCATACCCAGTGGTGGCATCCACCATTTGATCAATCTTAGGCAACGGGAAGCTGTCATTCGGACAGGCTTTGTTCAGATTGGTGAAATCAATGCATACTCGCCATTTCCCATTCTTCTTCTGCACAACAATGACGTTGGACAACCACTCAGGGTAGTGCACCTCTCTGATAAATCCCGCATCAAGCAGCCTATCGACTTCTTCTGCTATGATCTGATTACGTTCTGGAGCAAATCTTCGCTGCTTCTGTTTCACTGGTTTGAAATTGGGATTGACATTCAGGGAATGACAGGATACGGAGGGACTAATTCCAGGCATGTCTAGGTGACTCCATGCAAATACGTCGGCATTGTGGGACAAGAAATCCACTAGCTCTTGCTGCTCTTCTCTGGTCAGTCTTATACCTACTCTGGTAGTTCGTTCTGGCCTGGACTGATCGATCTGCACATCCAGAAGGGGCTCCTCGGTCAAGTCGACTGACTCCTCCACCCTATTCTGCTCGAGCGGAGGTTCCTGTAATTGCTATCTGGGGCTTGCCGAAAGGACGGGCGCCTTTCCTTTCCCAGCATGCTTTAGTGTGACGGAATAACACTCTTTGGCTGCGACCTGATCCCCCCGAATGTCTATCACTTTATCTCCATCGGGCCCGAGGCACCTCATGACCTGATGCAGAGTTGAGGGTACACCTCGGACTCTGTGAATCCATCCTCTTCCCATCAGGAGATTATACGAGGGGTGAATTTCCACAACCACAAAAGTTTCCATAAGAGCTCGTTCTGCAGCTTGAACTTCCACTTCCACCATCCCGACGGGTTCCACCCTCTTCCCATCGAACCCTAACAAAGGATTTCCGGTGGGCTTGAGCCTCTCTGGTTTAATGTCGAGCCTGTCAAATGTGTCCCTCGGCATGACATTCGCACTGCTCCCAGGATCGATCAGAACTCTGCGCACCAAGCAATCTGCCACTGTCAAACTGACTACCAACGGGTCGTCATGAGGCAGTTGAACACGCTGCAGGTCTGTCCAGTCGAACTTTATCTGCATCGACGGGCTCTGCTGGTGTAGAGTAGTCACATTGCCGACCCTTTTCTTCATCTGCGCCTGCCGCAGGCGCACCCGGAGCAGCTCATCTGACTCTTCACTAGGCTCGGGTCGACCATGGATAGCATTGATTATACGAACTGGTTGTGAATTGTGGGAGCTTTGTTTATGACTCCTTTTTATTTGTTCCACCGGTCGATTCTGCTCCATCGCCGAACCTTGAACATAACTCGCGAACTCTCCTCTAGCTATCAACATCTCCACTTGCCTCCTCAGGTTCCTGCATTCGTTAGTCTGATGACCGAAATCAGAATGAAAAGCACAATGTTTAGTTTGATCCCTCTGTTCGAGGGGTTGCCTAATTGGCAGTGGTGGATGAAACTTGTCTTTGTTCTCCTGATACAGCCTCGCCAGAGTGACCTTCAGCGGAGTAATCAACTCTTCCTCCCTGGACCTTTTTTCTGCCTTCCAAGAGGTCTGACGTTGCGGCTGAGCCTGCTTCTGCCTGATCTTTGCCTTGGACTTTTCCTCGGTCGACACAAGCGACGTTATCCGAGCATTAGCTGCCTCCTCTTCTTCTAGGCGCACAAAGCCATTGGCTCTCTCATTGAGTTCATCCATAGTAGTCGGCGTGTTCACTACCAGACTGGTGTGAAACGGAGTTCCGCGTGTCATGGCTAACTTGAAGGCTTGAACTGCCGTAGAAGGGTGGCATTCGATCACCATACTCTTAGTGAGATTAAACCTGGTAAGAAAGGCCTGGAGACGTTCATCCTTGTGCTGCCTCATCGTGAATAGGCTCGAGATGTCCTTCGGCGGGCGTTTGTTCCCATAGTACTGGCTTATGAACCGATCGCACAGGTCTCTGAAACTACCAATGGAGCTCATAGGCAAGTTTTTGAACCAGCTGAGCGCCGGTCCGGCCAGGCTTGTAGGGAAACATTTGCACATTAAAGAGTCATTTTCCGTATTCAGGGCCATTTTCAACTGGATATGATACACATGATCGATCGGATCGGTCGTTCCGTCGAACAGAATAAAGACTGGCATAGCAAACTTCCTTGGATGCGGGGCATTCAAGATCTCGTCGGTGAATGGTGAATCCACCGTCCGAGCTGCGGATCGGAGAGCTTCATTCTCTCTCTGGAGTCCAGCGGTAGCTCTGTGAGTTACGGTTCTGCCCTCCGAACCGTGATGAGTGATAGTAACCATGGAGGGCCGGTAAGACGGATCGAACGACCGTTCCTCTATGAACTCTCTTTGCCAAGGCGACGCTATTCGACGGCGATCAGCCTCCATCACTTCCTCTCGGTCGAACCTTTCCCGCTGCGGATCAACGTGAGTCGATCCTTCGTGATCTTCAACTCGATGAACATTTGGCGGCAAATTGTCCATCATCCTTTCATCACGGTGGTGAGCTGACTGATTGTTCTCGTCCTGTTCGCCTTGATGCGCGATATTAGATTGAACACCTCCTTCTCCGACTGGAAGTGGATGCGAAACCACAGGTATTTGCCGATGTTGCAGTCCAGCTTTCAATTCTGCATTCTCTTTTTTGAGAGCTTCAATCAAGTTCATCAACTCCTCAAGCTTTGTTTGCTGGACAGCCTCCATCGGATTGGAGCTTTCACCTATCATTATTCCCGAACGGAGTAAAGGCATTAATCTCAAGTTCGCGAGTAGATCCGAGCTTCGTGAGTAGGAATTTTTAGATCTGGCTTCTAATTCTCCGAATTATGCTCATTGTTTACGAGATCTGAATTGTCTGAACTCTAAATCCGTCAGATCCTGCCACAATCGAACAACTCGTTGTTGCGTAGATCTGAAGTCACTCCTGCCAAAGCTTCAAGAATTGTAATTCCTCCAGAGTAGGTCACAATCGCTCAGATCTGGATTCAAATCCCAAAGATCGAGTCTCGATCAACCGAATTGGTTTGAATCCATTCGATATTCCTCATTGATCAACCAAACTTCCATGCGTTTCCCACAGACGGCGCCAATTGAAGATGCAAGAAATTCCTTCTCCTCTTTCTCTCTCTAGAATTCTTACACCTCAACCAAAAAAAGATCCCCCTCCTTTCCATTCCATATCCTATTTATAGATATTTACAAGATATTTACAAGATATTTACTGATTGCTGGATCTGGGCCTATTCCTCCATAAGCCCTGGTCACCTTTGATGGGCTTACTCCCGTTCGGCCCATATGGCAGTGTCTTTATATGGGCCGACCCAGCTGTACGAACTGAATGTTGTGTTTGCGAGTCGGATCCGGCCCATGTCGTCCGGGGCCTCCTCATATACACGCACACACACACATTATACACATATATATGTACTCTTCTGATAAATAAATAAATAAACCTTGCCAAAATGATCCCCTCTCAATTTGGGTCTAAATGTGCTATGTATTGGTCGATGCTTTGTATTGATATATATACACACACATATATGTTGTGCTTCTGATAAATGAAAAAAAATTCCCCTCTCTATTTGGTTTTGTTACTCTGTTGTGCTTTGTGAGTTTGCATTGAAATATATATATATATATACACTCACAAATATATATCATCAAACTTATAAGCTGCAAGACCCCAATTCTTTAAAACCCTAATTTCTCAAATCCCAAAATTGAATCCCCAAATCAAACTCGCAAATGAACCTTTTATCTACAATCAATCAAGCGCTTCGCATCGCCTTGGAATCTGATCCTCGGTATGTTTATCTTAATATGTGCAAAACCCACTTCCCAGCCCATTGCCGTTCAGCCCACCTTGCTCGCCGATCCTTTCCACCATTCAAGATCGTCCTTGCTATCGTTGCTTTATTTGAGCCGCCACCGAACCAGCCCGTTAAGCTCATCGTTGCATTTTTTCTCCACCCCCGCTGTCGACCCAGTCGGAAGTGTGCCGACGGGGACGTCGGGCCTCAAAGGGGGTGGATTGTGATGATCCTGTGGGCGGGTGCGAGAGACACTAACAGACTACCACACTGGCGAGTTACGGGTGCACAGTCCCACATCGCCTGGGTAGAGGAAAGGTGAAGTGCTTATATGTAAGTGTGTCATCTCCAATTGGTATGAGGCCTTTTAAGGTAAAGTCTAAGAGTAAAACCGTGCGGGCTCAGGCCCAAAGCGGACAATATCATGCTATGTGGTGGAGTGGATCGTTGCAGCCGGTCCATTCCATCTCCGCCGATGTGCAGTTCCTTCGTTGCCACCCGATCCAAATGAACCGCTATACCCAACCGAATAAGAAATCCAGATGTTTCAAGCGCTTCTTCACCTTCCTCCCTGTTACCTGTCTTTCGCTTCTCTCTCTCTCTAAAACGTCATCTATGTGTTGTCCACTTGTCCCTATTTTATTGGTCCTTGAGATTTTACATTCCAAGCGAGCAACATACGTGTATAAAGTTTAAAACTATCCTTTTATTATAAGGGTTGCAAGGTCTTTTACTTTTTTCGGTACCGGATTCTGTGTTGGTGGGGCAAATTACAACAAAATCATAATTCGGGGTTTTTTTTTATAGTTCGGGTTAGTTACAAAACTCTAATAGTTCAGGAGATTTTTTGTATTTAACCCTAATAATAATTGCCTTATGCCTCACCATACCAAAAAAAAAAAAAAAAAAAAAAATTGGGTCCTAAATCACCTACCAATCAGTGATTCACTCTAATTAAGATTAATGTTCTAATATCTTAATATTATTTGAATCTATTTTTTAAATTCAAGAGTCTTAAAAAAATTGGACAACTAAGCATAAGTAACAATTTCCCCTTACATAAGCGTAGATTCTGACAGGTGCCTGTCTCAAAATATATCAAATAGCAACAGCAGCAAAGTGGAATAGAAACTTAAGACTTGAAAGACAGATTCATTATCAATGGTGGCAACAAAGCATGGTGTGCTGGGTGTGCATCATTCAATATCTAAGTATTTTAATATCACGCTCAGTTATAATGTATTATGGAAATGCATAAAAAGAATCATAGAACCGTGAAAATCGAATCCGAATTAAAATTTCGGTTCCGATTCTTGTAATTTCGGTTTTAAATTTAAAAACCGTGCGCATACGATTCCGGTTCCACCCCTCGAGAACCGTTAAATAAACCGTGCGCATACTATTTTTTTTTAGGTTTTTTGCCCTCAATCTCAGATCTCTCACTCTCGAGTCTCAGTCCTCGCCTCCTCTCAATCTCTGAGATTCTCTCTCTCCTTTGGCTCTTCACTTTGAAAGAGCAGACCCTAATCAAGTTATCTGAGCAAGCACAAGGTAGAAGACGATGCTGAGAGTTGCGGGTAGGAGGTTAACCTCTCTCTCATGGAGGTCCACCCAGACATCATCGGCCTTCGTCAACAGAAATCCAATCAACGGCTCTGATTCGCCATCATCCGATTCCAGCTGGTCCACCTCCCAACTCCCCTACACATTTTCTGTCTCTTCCCAATTTCTGGATCAAATCAGAGGTCAGCCCTCTCACCTTTGTTGCTCTCTCTCTCTCGTCTTTCAGATCTAGGGCTCATATATTTTTGCCTACTATGCATCTGTTCATGGCTTTGGGTTTTCTTTTCTGATCCATTTGATTGTTAGCAAGATATACAGGAACACGTATAAAAATTAGATTCCTTACCTGTTGGTGTATTTTTTTTTTCATTGTATGGTGCCTGAAACCTTCATGATTGATACTAGTATTTGGTTTTGTTGAGTTGAATTTCTCACTTTTTTGGATTTGAAAAAAAAAAAAAAAAAAAAAAAAAAAATATTCCAAGCCCGACCATCAAACAAGGAAAAAAACCAAACAAATTTCATAAAAATAAAGAACAGTTCGAACAGTAGACAACCAATAATCGTGAAGGGCGGGTTAGAGCATCTCCAACCGATGCTTCAAATTTCATACCTCAAATTTATTTGAGGTATGATATGGAAAATTGACCTATGACATTTTGGCATACTCCATATGTCAAATTTATTAATTTATTAATATTTAAGGTTTCGAATGAAGATTTTCAATATGTCAAATTTAAATTGTTTGTGAGATCCATAAATTAAAATAATAAAAAAAAATTTATTTGACATACTACTTTTTGATATACTAAATTTGACATAGTTGATGGTATGGCATGCTAAATAGGCATTCAAGATATTGATTGGAGGAGTCTTGATGTCAAAAAAAATAGCTGTCGCAAATACTATTTGACATATTTTAATTCACAATTCTAAACATTTTTTTTTAATAATTGAAATTTCTTATATTTAAATTATACTATTAGAGATGGACACTGCAGGACAGACAATTATCACTAGAGAATATCGATTAGTAAAATTTATCACTATAGAAAACTTAGACAAACAAGTTGCAAAATACCACATTCTACAAGTTTTATTTACATTTTTTTTGCAAAAGTCCTTTGATTTCAATATCCGATTGGTAGATGGGGATTTGTTTGTCCCTCCAAAAAATTATTTGCACTTAGTAGGAACCGATTCTAAGACCTGATGCTTTTCTAGAGCGGTATTTCAATATGCAATTTTTTATTTTACTTTTTGACAATGCATTATTATTTTTTGGGTCATTGGCAAAAACACACACACTAAACTCATACACCCGCTTTGGAGACTTGAACCCTTAAATCTACTTTAGAAGGTAGAGGAGATACCGCTAGGACACTAAGTCCTTGGTAGCTTTTTGACAAGGTAGGGGAGTTTAATACAAAAAAATATATACATATATTTAATTAACAGTTTGGTTTTTCAACCCAAAACGAGAATACTTCTTTATGTTTTAAACCGAAACTGAAAGGAACCATAATAATAATAATAAGGTAAATTATACGGACCTTCCTATGGTTTGCCATAATTACAGGGCTCCTATATGATTTGAGAAATTACTCGGACCTCCCCTAAAGATAAAATTAACCTACACGGACTACCCTTTTGTTAAAGTCAACGTGAGTCAATGTGAGTCAATGATGAATTTTGCTAATGTAATGTACTTGATAAATTAAAATTTTCATTGACATTTTAAACCTTAAAAATCAGTAAGTATTACCAAAATACCTCATCCTACTAAATAGCAAAAAAATTTACCTTATCAATGTATGTAGACCTTTGGTGAACTAGTGTGAAAAAAAAAAAAAAAAAAGTAGGATTTATTGTAGACCCACTTCTGTCCAAGTTGTTTCTCATGTTTGAATTTATGATCTGAAGTTCTTTTTCTTTAGACCTATTTTTCTTTTTCATATGAAGCCAATAATCTCACTGATATAACACAATATACATGAGCATCACAACCCCCAAATAGCCATTATAGGTTAGAGTGGCGAGGAGAGATTGATGTGGATGTTTTTGGGTTTGTCTCGCTACCGTTCAGACTTTGCTTGCCGAATCATCGCCGGATTCCTTACTACCCGTCGTTCAGACTTTGCTCGTTGGCATCGTTCATCGCCACCGTTGGAACTTCTATCCTTTGAAAGCAAGATCAAACCCAAAACCTCTTCGGCGGAGCAAGAGGTCATCGATCCGGCTCACCGGAGTAAACCAAGTAGAGAGAGGAGACGGAAGGTCGGCGGTAGCGAAGCACTGCGGCGGCTTCCCCTTCCAGAAACTGACACACCGCTCCTTCTCGGAATAGACCCAGCACTGCTCCGGTCTCTGTTCCTCTCCTCTTCTTCACGACGGCGGCTTCGCCTAAATCAGCCTCCGCTCCTTCCCGGTGCTTGACAGTGGCAGAGAGTTGATGTTGAGGCAGAGGGCGTGAAGAAGATCACGGTCGAAGCTCGGAGTCTGAAGCGCGGTCGCCGAAGAAGAGGGGGCGTGTGTGCGCGTGAAAATGTTACGTATTTCCTTTTATTATATTTGTCATTATATTCTTCCAGCTCATGGCATCTCTGTTAGTTAGTTGAGGCCTAATAAACAGGAAAGAAATAGTTTTCTCCTGAATTAATTGCAAGTTAACTTCTTTTGCTATTTAGTTGGTAGAGTCCTCTTAATTCTCTATGTTAGTTGGTAGAGTCCTACTGTTACTGATTTCTGTTGTAAGTAGCTTCTATTTAAGTTGAAGGAATCATGAATAAAGTATGCTTATCCGTTGTTCAACCTTGAGTTGTATCAGAGGTCTCGGTTCCTCAATTAACCGTTAATTCTTTTTCTTAGATTGCATTATAGGTTCCAGTAAACAAAAGAGGAATTCTCCTCAGTACGCCCCACAGTGGTATCAGAGCAAGGGCATGGATACACAGGTGGATAAATTGGAGGCAGACGTAGGATCGCTCACCACTGGCCAACAAAAATTATGGAGAAGCTTTCTTAGCTTTTCGAAAAGCTCAATTTGCGACCCAACCCTGACCGTGATGAAGGAGAGCACTCAGTAGCTGTACTTCAAATTTTGGAAATCGACTTAACAATGGTAATGGAATTCGACAAAATGGATCGCAACAGTCTTATCTTCCCAAGATTGTTAAACTTGATTTTCCTCGTTTCAAAGGCGAAGAAGACACAACAAGTTGGATCAGTATGTCCCAGAAAAGCACGTTAGATCTACTCGCAGGAGCGCGTGACGTGCTTGGAGCCTGGAAAAACTGACAAACTTGGCAATCCGGCCAAGCCACTCCTCCTCTCTGTTCGTTCCGGTGCTACAGTGGTGTGGATAAGGAAAAAGTTGCGGTGGTGGTGGTGATGTGGAGAGGGAAGTGGCGCCGTTAGAGAGGGATGGTGTAGGCGACAGTAAGTGATTAGTTTCTCGTGGTGCGGCTCGAAGTTCAGTCTGGCGGCGATGGTGGTCTGTGGTGTTCAGTCCCGCGGCGATGGTGGGGTGTGGTGTTGATATGCCGATATGAGAGTATAGAGAGAGAATATGTAAATAAGGGCAGTATGGTAATTTAATTCCAACTTTTTGGATCACATGATAGCACATGCGTGTCATATCAAACCGGAGCCTTACCGCCGGATTGGAACCTCCAAGTAGAAACCCCATCGCTATTTACAGTACGAAGGTGAAGACAACCCCAAGGATACCCAAGGTAAAAAAAATTCTTCATGTCTTATTTATTTATTTATTTTTTGTGTGCAAGACGTTTAAAGTTTTCACCATACCCGTGTTCATTAATTCAAGTTGAGGTGGTTATTACTTGTTACAATAAAATTATAAAATATAGAATTCTTAAATATGGGCCTACTAGAATTTGCAATAAGGTGGGATTCAATTATTTTGTAGTTGTTGAGTTGTATGCATAGGAATGTGGTATCAACTCATTCTAGTTTTTTATTTCCAAAAAAAAAAAAAAAAAAATTATTTAAGTTTCAAAAACTTTTAAGGATTCAATTTTCTAGACTACATATTGAAGTAGCAGAAAATATAAGAAATATTATTTCAATTATCAGACTATCAAATAAATCCATAAAAATGCTGCATGTGTTTATGCTGCAAAATGTTCTCATTGTTTAAGTTATTTTAAAAGGGGGATCCATTTTAATTTCTTAACTTGTTAAATTATGGGATAGGGGCTGAAGCCATGTGTTTGCTGATCTTGGCCACATCACCAAGAAAGCAATTCAGGTAAGCAATGGGTTCCCATAAAGCTATATTGAGTTTCTTGACTGAATTCTATTAACATGATTGACTTCATTAGAATGTTCTCTCTCGCAGTTGGCTTTCTCTTCATTTGTTTATCCAACTTTGATCCTCATGAAGCTGCCTATTTGATTAAACACCTTGATAATATGGGAAATGCCTTTTACAGTTCCATTCCTAAACCAGTACTAACCTATGTTCGTTATATCTACGCTAGCTGCCATTGTTGCAAGCCAATCAATGATATCTACAAGTTTCTCTATCATAAAGCAGTCCCTCACTCTTGGTTGTTTCCCTCGGGTTAACATGATGCGCATTTCCTCCAAGCATGAGGGGCAAGTCTATTCTCCAGAAATAAATTACACACCATGATTATCTGTATGGCTCTTGTGGTCAGATTCAAAGATGTTGTTGAAATAGGAAATTCATTTGGTAAACCATCTTCTTAGATACACATTTTCTATTTTTAATGTAACTTCTGGCTTTCATAACAATGGCAAGTGTGGTTGTTGTTTGGGTCATGATCATAACGCCTTTCTTGATAACATTAGTTATGCTTGTGATATGGGACACGAAACCTCTCCTCATCTGTGCCTTTTTCTTGCCATTTGTTGCAATTGAAGGCACAGATGGGGAGATGATTTGTGTCCCATATCACAAGCATAACTAATGTTATCAAGCAACTCGTTATGATCATGACCCAAACGACAACCACACCTACCATTGTTATGAAAGCCCGAAGTTACACTAAAAATCAAAGAAAATATTCACTCAATAGAAATTGAAAATGTGTATCTAAGAAGATGGTTTACCAAATGCATTTCCTATTTCAACACCATATCTGAATCTGACCAGACCACAAGAGCCATACAGATAATCATGAGGGTGTAGTTTTTTTTTTTCTGGAGAATAGACTTGCCCCTCATGCTTGGAGGAAGTGTGTATCATGTTAACCCGAGGGAAACAAACGAGAGTGAGGGACTTCTTTATGATAGAGAAGCTTGCAGATATCATTGATTGGCTTGCAACAATGGCAGCTAGCATAGATATAACGAACATAGGCCAGTACACTGGTTTAGGAATGGAAATGTAAAAGGCATTTCCCATATTATTAGGGTGTTTAATCAAAAAGGCAGCCTCATAGGTGAGGATCAAGCTTGCCCCCCCTCTATCTTTGCAACTGCTATCTTGTATGTATGGATTTTGTTTTTAATTTTTTTCTAAATCAACTAATAATCAAGGTCTGTATTTCTTGTTTTGCATACTAAATCCTATTTGGTGAAATTTTTTATGATGTTTTTAATATAATTTTTTTTATTTACAATAAAAGTAACAAAATTTGCATTGCATTTTGAGATAATCATTGCATTGCATTTTGAGATAATCACCTTAATCTACATTTTATTTCAGCAAAACAATTTTTTATTTATTTTTATTTTTTATTTCTATAACTTCTATTTCTGTTTTTTGTTGTCGTCAATTATGTCTACAAGAAAATTTGAATCTGGGCATGAAAAAAGATAAAGAAAAAAAGAATCTGAATTGGATTACAAATCTGCCGAGATTGAATCTGAAACAATTTTTATCAACATGCCAAGGTTTTGAAGATCTAAATGTTTTCAGAACTAAAAAAAATCATAACAAGAACTACCTCATAGTGTTGAGTGAATTTCATAGTGTTGGAAGGGGGCTTGCCATGAACTACCTCACACTCTGCTTCCACTAGTAGATTCTCAAATAGGATTAGTAAATTGGTCAAAAGAAGAGATAGGGTACTGAGTGGTGAATTGTTCAAAAATAAATTGGCTATTTTTTTTTTATTAATTGCCAAATAGGATTTTCTATGCCTTAATCAGTCAATTGTCTAAAGAAACATTGTTAATTAACTAAAATTGAATTAAACAATAGTTGATTTTGGTTGATATATTTTGATTTAGCCCACCCCATTGAGAAATCCTGGATCCGCCCTTGGTGAAGACAACCCAAACGCCCGAATAGCCTTGATTGTAGCATAGAAGCATGGAAGACGCCATAGTGACTGCTAACCAGAGCAAAGAACATCTTGAAAGCGGCGGCATATATGTATGGTGATTCTGAGTCTCATGACCTACCCAGATCACTCAGTTTCTACTGGTACTTATATCTGCCTCCTCTAAGGAAACCCAAGGTAAAAAATTTTCTTCATTTCAAAAACTTTTAAGGATTCAATTTTCTGGACTGCACATTGTAGTAGCAGAAATACTTCATTTCAATACTATAATGATATATTATTTCAATTATCAGACTATCAAATAAATCCATAAAAATGCTGCATAAATGTATGTATGTATGCACAGTTTAGACTCTAAAAGTTACCTGCATGTTAGGTTTTAATTTAATTAATTAATTAATTAATTAATTTATTTTTTTAAATTTACAAGTTGTTAGCATAATTTGTTGAGAAGATTGTATTTTAATTTGTTTCCAGTATTTCTCCCATATTTTACTGCATCCTAACTTTATATGAGCACATAGAAAACTAAACAAGAAAATTGCAGTAATTTTCTCCAATCTTTACACTGGGGAAATAACAATATTACTTTTGGGTAAGTTATAATTTATTTGCACGTGTTATTTGTTAATGCTTTAGCTACTTTGTTTGGTTCACTAACATTTAAATAAGGTAATTCATTTTCCAGGACTATCATGGAGGGGAAACAGTGTTACTGGCATTCCAATCACTAGGAGTTGTATATGGAGACCTTAGAACACCTCTCCTCCATGTCTTCTCCTCCATTCGCCTCTCAATCCCCGGTGAAGAGGACCTGCTCGGAATATTCAGTTTGATCTTCTGGACTTTAACTTCAATTGCCTTGATCAAATATGTATTTATCGTTCTTCAAGCTGATGATCACGGAGAAGGTGGTACATTTGCTCTCTATTTATACCTCTTTCGTCTTGTTAATTTCCGGAACACCCAAGAAAGTGCTGTGAAATCTAGGACTAAGAAGTTCCTTGCTCAGTCCGCCTTAACTTTTGTCGTAATGCTGGGAATTTGCATGGTAATTGGCGATGGCGCTCGAACTCCTGCCACTAGCGGTAATTTCACATACTATAGTAAATCTATTGCTTCTGGCTGTGTTGAGCTCCAATTTTATTCTCGTTTGATGTTTTTTTTTCTTCTATGCATAGCCACAGAGCACTATAGCGTTATTCTTAATACAATTATTACGTGTTGTAGTTATCTCAGCCCTTGGATTCACTCGTTTCCTCAAAGATAACACAAAGTGAGCTATGTTGTAACACTCCAAAAGCATTTTTAAAAAAAAAAACTATAATTACTATTTTAACTAATTCAAGTTCAATTTATGTTTGTCTTAGAGCATGTTATTGCCCTTGCGGTTGTGCTACTTCTATTCGTCATTTTCCAGCAATGTGGAACAAGTAGAGTTATGGTTCTTATCAAATGCTGCAATTGGCATATTAGCATGATTGGAGGGAAAGAGAAGTCAGCTTCTCTTTCCCTCCAATCATGCTAATATGCCAATTGCAGCATTTGATAAGAACCATAACTCTAGTTGTTCCACATTGCTGGAAAATGAAGAGGACGACAAGTAGCACAACCGCAGCACAACCGCCAGGACAATAACATACTCTTAAGACAAACATAAATTGAACTTGGATTAGTTAAAATAGTAGGGTTAGAACATATCTCACTTTGTTTTATCTTTGAGGAAACAGAGGGAATCCCTTGAAGGGCTGAGAGAACTGCAACATGTAATAATTGTTATTCTTACGCTAAAGTGCTTTGTGGCTTATGCATATAAGAAAGAAAACATCAAACCAGAAGAAAATTGGAGCTCAACATAGCCAGATCCAATAGATTTACTTTAACTAGTATGTGAAATTACCGCTGGTGGCAAGAGTCCGAGCGCCATCGCCAATTAAACATGCAAGTTCCCAGCATTACGACAAAAGTTAAGGCGGACTGAGCAACTAAACTTTCTTCAAGGAACTGCTTAGTCCTAGATTTCACAGCACTTTCTTGGGTGTAATATCCCATGTTGGAATCATATTCTAATTTTGTGTTTTGAATGGTAAGTTTGCTCCAGAAATTAATATGACGACAGAGGTATGAATACAGAGCAAATGTACCACCTTCTCCGTGATCATCAGCTTGAAGAACTATAAATACATATTTGATCATGGCAATTGAAGTTAAAGTCCAGAAGATCAAACTGAATATTCCGAGCAGGTCCTCTTCACCTTGGTTTGAGAGGCGAATGGAGGAGAAGACATAGAGGGGAGGTGTTCCAAGGTTTCCATATACAACTCCTAGTGACGGGAAGGACTATTCTCAAAGCAAACAAGAACTACGGATGGTTTGCCCACTTCACAATAGATTACTTGTACAGGTTCTTTTAGAAGAACTGCACTAGTTTGACACTTGGGAGTTCCACCTGGAAAGACTTTGCATGCTTTATGAAATCATTCTCCACATTCCAATTCTTACAGCTCACTAGTTAACCAGAGGAAGTTATGTGGCCTTGCTTGATAAAGCAGGATTATGTATCTGAACATACTGTTCTGATTTATGGTAGAGAGAGCCCTGATTATGTATGTGAATAAACTGTTATCATTTATTGGTAGAAACAGAGAGCACTGATTATGTATGAGAACAAACTGCACTAGTTTTGACACTTGGGAGTTCCACCTGGAAAGACTTTGCAAGTTGGAATGGTTTATGAAATCTAGCTGCACATTCCAATTCTTGCAGCTCACTAGTTAACCAGAGGAAGTTGTGGCCTTGCTTGATGAAGCAGGATTATGTATCTGAACAGACTGCTCTTATTTATGGTAGAGATAGCCCTGATTATGTATGTGAATAAACTGTTGTCATTTATTGGTAGAAACAGAGAGCACTGATTATGTATGAGGACAAACTACTCTGATTTATGGTAGAAAGAGTGTAGAAAACAAGTCTTGTATGTCAAAGCCACACACTAGAAAATTTAGTCCAGGGAGCTGAGGTTCAAAGCATTTCAGTGTGAGCGCGCGCGCGCGCTCGCGTTTGAAATCAACTGAAGTATTAAAAGTCCTGTGAAAGGACAAAGATGGCAGCACAAATTAGTACCTAAAGTCACAATTTTCTTGGTTCCATTATTAATATATATTTATAGCCCCTTCATTACTCCGTATCCAAGCCAAAATCAGCTCATTCCACACAATATTTCTAACCTCAACAACTCATTTTCCAGCTCGGGTCTCCCTCTTTTCTGTAAGTATTTAAACACATTCTTCTATCTTAAACTCGGCTAATTCATCTCTGCAAGTCTAGAGATTGTCAAATTTTCAATTTAGCGAACCCAGGATTGCCCTCCGGCATTATCTATATAGTAACAGCAATGCACCTCAAAGTATGAAAACCTCATCCAAAAGCTTATCTGAAACCAAAACTTAACATTCTAGTAAACCGGAAATAATGTGTGGGAAAAACATGGTAATTACCAAATTTGGGAAAGAGTTTAAGTTCCAAAGATCAAATAAGCCATACAAACAATTAAAAGCAACATTTGTGTGTTTCCCTCCTTTTATGGCATGTTTCGAACCCCTCCATTTGTCCATTTTAGGATTCAAGAGGCAAGTCTTAATTTCATTCATACATAGAAGTGAAAGACCAAGTATTAGAAAGAGAGGCTCTTCCCGAGTACATAATATAGAATGCCTAATCTATGGCATACTTTTGGGTCCAGCTCCTTGGAGTTGTCTCATACTTGTTTTTGTCAGTCTTGTACATATGAGCAATCTCTGGCACCAGGGGATCATCTGGATTTGGGTCCGTCAGCAAAGAACAGATAGAGAGCAATACCAAAAATGTAGAGAACCATTTTTACTCAATTCAAGATGAACATGAAACCCTCTTTTAAATATATCAAAAAACTTAATAACAGAGAATGACAATTAAAGAAGAAAAATGAAAATGGAGGCCCAAATATCAGCCTCTAGATCACAAACAATAATTTTCTTGATAGAAGTCGAGAGGAAGAGCATGATCACTAATGTGATCAATGGAGCTTACTAGTTCATATATTATAAAAATCACCACCTTAAACTCAATGCTGTTATGCAGTCACTTTAATCATGGCTTGTTCTAATTTCTAAGCTCGAGCTCTAGGGTACAAAATAGTAACCTTGGAAATGGTTAGTGCAGGGCTCCACTGTTCCTTCAAAATGTCAAGGCATATGCTTCCATTGCTGTTTATATTTGGGTGGAAAACCTTTGTCCTAAATGCCACCTGCAACATTATCCACCAGAATGTGTTAGAGAGAGAGAGACGGAGCATCTCAAGTTTGAACCTCAAGGATTAAAGAAAAAGAAATATGAAACCAATGAAATGGGGAAAATCAGATTAGATTTCTACAAAAGATAGCAATTTTTTATTTCTATTAACTGAGTCAAAATTTTAACTGATCTATTAAAATTCAGTTCGTCATTTGCAAATATGGCTGAAAATTGAAAGTTTTGGACAAATGGAACTTGGAGCGGGAATCTGAATTCTCTTTATATTCAAATCTTGAAGCACTTCTGAAGGCCACCGTGATATATCCCACAAAACTCTCTAGTATACTTCACACAACAATAGAATAATACATTATTAAACGATAACAAAATTAAAACTTAATATTCTGCATTAGCATACTTACAAAGTGAGTGTAAGGTAAACAAGGATTGAAACACAGAGAAGCACAAAAATAACTAGAAAAGCTCACAAACACTTTGAAAGTAAAACTTATATGCCTTCAAGTTTACAAACTTCTTTCTTCAAATCCATAAACTTAAATGCTACAGAAACCTGAAAAGTTGCTTTATAAAAGCAACCACAAAAGAGACTCTTCCGTCCGTAAAGTTTGTTTATTAAAGCAACTACATGTAAGATTCTTTTGCTTTAACAAAAGTAGAACCTTTTGTTGTATTCAACATGTGAAAGATATGCTTTCATGTCTTGGGTAATTATTAGAGTCTAATTTAGTTGAATTGAGTAAGATAAATTCCAAAACAGTCATCTCCATTATTATTGCAAGAACTTCTTATCTACGTCATCAGATTCTGAATCCCCTTCATCATAGAGATCTTTAGCCATTTCAAAAATTACTTTTCCACCCAAAGCTGCAGGAAATCCCGTCAATATTACGAGATAATTCTTACCATCATCAAATCACCTCAAATTTACCACAAATTCAAAAATGCTTCCCAACTATATTCCTTCCTCAAAGATTGAAATTTGTCACATCATCTCATCCGTCTCATACCAGAAGAATTCTGTTCAAATCTTCTCCCCAAGAATTCAATTAATTTGATTATCAAGATGCTTGGAAGTATGTATTTTATTATCAAAATAATAAATTCAAACACTCTTGGTTTATTTATTTTGCCAAAGAATTTGAATAGGAACTCCCAACATGGTTCATGGATTAATTGGCTCAATTTGGTACTGACATTGAAATTCTTTCAGAAGATGTTCTTAATGCATACTCTTCATGTTATGATTGTCTTGAACAATCTTGTCAGAGTAACAATTCCATTTATGTATTTTATGACAAATTTTGCCACATCTTCAATCATTGCTTGGCAATATGTTATTGGCTTATTACAGATGTTAAGCATGGAACTCCTTGCCTCTATCACCAATATGCCTCAAAATGGTGGCCAAAGTTCAAATATGCTCATATTTCTACCTCTCAATTTGAGAAAGTTAAAAGAAATTTTCATCCAACTTCTTCCGACATCAAGGTTGCTCAATTTAAGGAAACAAATGCACTAATGGCCTAACAAGGGAATAATGCGGCTTAAATGGAGTGAAATTACACCACCTGAAGCTTGGTTTTTAGAAAATGAAGAACATCCTCAACCCTCTCTACGATCCCAAGTGGAAAGTATTATAGAAACTAATGGTGGAAATGTAGAAATATGATTTGCTCTATCTGGGAAATCTTTAGATTGTTAACCCAAATAACAATTCTCTATTCCTCAAGATCTTCTGCTTCTTGAGCTGGAACATTCCGTACTGCAAGAACCTCAAAGTGCAAAGCTGGAACCATCTCTCCTAAAATCAATTGGTGTTAGGAAGGTCCATACTTATTCCTTTAAGCCTGACCATAGCCCAGGACCCACCGCGTGGGTACGGATCCTTCCCCATCTCGTGGGTACAGATCTTTTTACACCATTCCCCCTCCCGGGGATTCGAAACCGCGACCTGGCACTTGGCTCTGATACCAAAGTGCAAAGCTGGGAACCATCTCTCCTAAAACCACTTGGTGTTAGGAAGGTCCATACTTATTCCTTTAAGCCTGACCATAGCCCAAGACCCACCGCGTGGGTACGGATCCTTCCCCATCTCGTGGGTACAGATCTTTTTACACCATTCCCCTATCACTTCTAAAAATCATGATGGTAGGAATAAGAACCAAAGGGAATGGGATTCCTCAGCCCCTCTTAAAGAAACAAAATAAGATTACATAAATCTTTTATCAATCTGTCAATCGCAAAAGAAATTCAAATAGATAAACAAATGATACAACAACATAAAGAATAAAGACAAACTATTCAAACAATTACAACAACCTACGAAATAAGCATATTACAAATGTTGCAATTTCATCCAATCTTGTAACCCTTTCTTTCAGTGGAAAGAAGTGTGGTATGACAAAGCAGTGAACGTAAGTGATGGGCCTACAAGAACTTGGACTATACTAAAAACCAAATCTATCGATCATAAATACATGGACTATACTACAAACTGAATCTATCCATCAAAAATGCAAGTTTCAAATGATTTGCATGCAAGTTCAAAAGGCCAATATCGCTTATAGGTAGCAATCTAAATTTTGGGTTAGCTCCAGTTGCATTTTTTAGTCAACTTGTTTTTAAGTTTAGCAATAAAACGGCAAAATCATAATATGTCATTCTATCATCTAAAAGAGTCGAATTCTTCACCTTTTATTCCTCTCTTTTACTTCATTCTTTCTTAGCAATAAATATGACAGGCTAACATTTTGGATTATAACTTAAACACAACAAGCGAATGAGACATAAAGGACTATTCAAATAAGTAAACCAATGAATGGTTCTTGAAAACAGTGCACGTTAGAAACAAATTTATAGACCAACAGGCTAGGTATTAGAGCCATTAGACACAAATTTAGTCCAAAAGCAGTGCACGTTTCAAATTAAACAACATGGGCTGTCAAACTTCCCAAGTCGCAAACAACTCAAAATGGGAATGAGAAAAGGATGGTCATGAAGCATGCAGACAATTACAGTTCATGAGGAACTTTACAATAAAGAATCAGAGTGTTTGAAACACCTTAGGTGGCTTGAATGGATAATTTGGAGGAAAATGGATGGCAACTAAGAAAACTCCACCAGCATAAGGACTGTCTGGAGGACCCATAATTGTTGCTTGCCAGTGAAACATGTCCTCGGCCAATGGACCTGAAGCATACAAAGAATAACAAGGATAACAATTAAATAAAGCAGTTGCACAAATAATGAATGATAAAGTTGTAAAATTTGTGTTCAAGGTGGGCAAAGAATGGGGGAAGCTGAGCTCTCTTTGTTCTTATTTAGAAAAATGAAAAAATGAATATAATAAAATAGAACAAAAGAGAGGAAATTTTTAAGTCACGCCTTTGAAGTTAAGAGCTGAATCTTGTCTACTTTTGAAGTTGGGTCTTGTTTTTTGTTCTTTTCTTTTTACTTTTTATATTAAATGCAATTAGGCTAAAGTGTTGGGCTTTATACTCAAATCCTTTGCCAAGAATAGGTCGTAGACCCAATAAATCCAAAATAAGAACAAAAAACTCGATTCTTCCGAATTCCAATCCTATGGATCCTACTGTTATCATTCTTCCAAGTGATTTTCATGTGATCCAGATCTGAATTCTAACAGGCATGATTTGAAGCAAAGCAACCAAATCGATCTGTGGTTGCTTCCTCTGTTGATGAACAACAGATCTCACAAGGGGAGGAAAAAGATGAGGTTGCCGTGACTGACACTCGGAAGAAAAGGCAAAGACCTATTCCCCCACCAATTCCTTGTAAAAGAGGAAGGAATCGCAGTGCTTAATACATGGATAGCAAATAAGGTGGTGACAGTATCCCCCAATAGGTGGCCCAATGCCTTCAAAGAGGATGCACCAAGACCCAATCTACTGCCACCTTCACATGTCGACCAAACATCCACTCATTGAATGTGAAAGAAATATATCAAAGGAAGATGAAGAGGGGTGCAATCGAGATTACCGATAAGCAGGTTAATCAGGACCCTTTTCCCTATCATCAGAAGGCGGGAATGCAGTAACTATTGAAATTTGGAAATGAAGTTGACGAGATTCAAATAGATGACCAGGAAGCATTAAAAAGCATACATGTTATTTTGATAATATGATATCACTGGAACACCAAAGCCTTAAAGCATGGCATCACTGAACAACCAAATAAAAATAAAAATGAGAAATAGAATTAAGAAAAATGCGTGTCTACATTTTTTAGGTTTCCTTTAATAGAGTATGCAATTGTATTTTTCATAAAAAGTTAAAAAGGGCATTGAAAAGCTGTATTTTGCTTCAACGTCTTTGCATACCGATCCTAGATTAAAGCCTCTGCTACACTAGGATCACCAATTGGGTATCCCTTCAGTAACACAGCTCTGAAAGCCCCAAAGAGAAGATTGCTTGATGGCCTGCCTTAAAACTAATGCTTCTGCAATAAAAACCTTCTAAACATGACTCCATAAAAAGGTTGAAGCTTTTAGAACATTTGTATTAGAGTCCCCTGCTGATATGCGTCCACCTACTTTACGGTCTTCACCTTATGATCTACACAAAGATGCATCTGAACTAATTTTGAGCATTTTATCACCTTGAGGTAGCCAGATTAGCTTTTGATATGTTGATTGATTTACAAAACCTTTGAAACATGACTCCAGTCCTTGACCTTTTGGCATGACAATGAAAACCACCCCAAGGAACCAAGTCGGAAAATGACTCGGGAATGACATGTCTGGCTACTCAAAAAGGGTAGACCTTCTAAGGAGGAAAAAAGGATCCTGATCCACCAAGCGCAGAAGGTCAAGGACCACTAAAAGTTAAACCCAAAACATAACACAAATTTCACATAACAAACCCAGATATCAAATTTTATTTTATTTTAATCTTTTTATAACTAAACCCAGATATCAAACTTGAAAACAAGTAATTTACTTGAAGGGTAGGGACGAAAAGAAAATAATCAACAACTATGACTTTGAACCGACAACACAACATTAGAATCTCATCAAAAACAAAGTCTACCAGCATAAATCAACCAGTATTACCTCACAAATACTCATTGGATATATACACATGTAGATATGAATGTGTACAAATATGTCTATACTACTATAGACGCGTGTGTGTGTATATATATATATAAAGGTCTAGGAAAGGTGATACCAGCGCTGCAAGATGTAGGAGGATCCTTCTGGAGATCCTTGAGTTCCTTCAAGATCCGCTTAGAAGCCATGGCGAGACCTGAGTTTCAACAGCTAGATCAGCTCAGATCGAGATCAGCAACTGTTAAATGATTAAGTATAATAGACACAACTCTACATACACATATAGATATACATATAGAGAGAGAGAGCTGCAAGGAATGAAAATTGTACCCGAGGAGGATTAGATAAGATTAGATTAGACCAGATCAGACCAAAATTCTCCAACACCAAAATGACCAACCATGATGTCTTCCCTTGCCATGACCTTCTCAACCCAAGTTAAAAATCAAATTTAATATACATCTTAGTATTTAAAGATAACAGGAAAAAACCATCATACTTGTACCATGAAGAATTTATTAAAATGGTGCACACAAAAACAAGTTCATCTATATTCCATTACATGAATGAAGGAAACACAATAGAAGATGAAGACACAGAGAATACAATATACTTTTCCATTGATTAAAATCATAAAAACAACATTGTTTAGAGAAAACAAAAGCATACACTGTGAATTAATAGAAATAACACTTGGCAAATAATACAACAGCAGTGTATCTATGGACGAAAGAAGAAACACAAAAGAGCAACCAGCAAAACCTACAGGATGTAAAACACTAAGCATGAATCCCCAACAATCACACAGAAAACATTACAAAATAGCTAAATAACAATATAAAGAAAATAATAACTTGAATATACAAATGGGCATAATCACAAAAACAAAAGAAAATCAATTACAAAATTGAAATTTTCAAAAGATTAAAACAAATGCCTTGACAACATCTAGTGGGTTGACAAGGACTGCCGAGAGCACTGCTGCACCAGCAGCAGAGAGGCTTCGCACGTGGAAACCCAATTTGACATCAGATGTGTTGTAGGAATGGTGAGGCTGAGAATGAGAAGCTCCCATTTCTTCTGCTGAGGATTTCTCAGTATCCGTCCATGGATTTTGGGTATGCTCTGGTTCTCCTACCATCCTCTTTGAACCTCACTTTTCTGTCTCTAAACCCAAAAATCAAAATTAATCAACCTGACATGGGTCATCGCCAAATGATTAATAACTGGTTAATTTTTAAGGAAAAATTACTAAAAATACGTATAACCATAAGAGTTTCCTATTCCTCCAACCCTTCACCCTAAAACTCTCCCACTTGATCAAATATGATTATATGTGGTACTCTGAAATGGGTGGCTAAACTCGGTTACATTATTCATTTTTCGGACACGCAATCAACAAAAAGAAAAAGAAAAAGAAAAAGAAAAGAATCAGAAAAAGGGATAAAGAGATTGAAGAACCTTTTGATATTAACTTTGGTTGTTCACTTGTTTGCTTACGATGGAGTTTAGACTTGATTAGCGACTTCTGAGAAGAGCTTTCTTCCAGTTCCTTGGAGAACTGGAAAGAAATAAAGAAAGAAGGGTTAATTACACTCACACCCCATCAGGTTTACCTATTTGACAGTCACACGAAAGTTAGCTTATTTTTGAACAATGACACCCCCTATAAGAAATGAGATCCAAACAGCCCCTAAAATGATGTGAAAAGTCGAGATTGCCTTTCATTATTTTATTTTATTTTAATAAAAAAATATCAGAATAATGAAATGACCAAAATGCCCATTAATATAATTAAATATTTTCTCTCCTCTGGCATGTGTTCTCCCTTTCATCTCAACCTACGAACACCATCGCCCCCAACAACGACGGCCACCAATCCCTACCAACGAGAGATCCACCGAAGCAATTTCCTCTAGACATAATACAGCTAGGTTCCTGTTATTCTCGAAATGGGTTTGTTAACACACATATCAATTGGACTTCTGCGACTGAAATATAAAAATTCAACATTAGGCTAAACTCACAATGGAAAGAGAGAAAAAAAAAAAAAATCAGAATTCATAAAATTTCACCAATTTCTTGAATCAGTTGAAATTCATCATTACAGAAAATTACCTAGACTGAGCTGTGTGTGTGTCTATATGTAATATGTGTTCATGCTTTGTGACTGATTTTTCTAGAGTGTATGGATTTGGGTGAAGTGATTCCAACCTAAATGGGTTGTATCTTAGTGAGTGAAAGTAGGTGTATAGAGAAAGAAAAAGGGGGTGGGTTGTGATGAATGTATAATTTAAATACCCGTGGATATGAGAAGATCGTTAAAGTAATGCGCTATCTCATAAGATTGAGATAAGCTCTACTGGCTAAGATAAGGATTACAGGCTAAGATAAGGATTACAGATTACGAATAAGGATTACAAAATACGATAGGGATTAGGCCTACAGATTACGATAAGGATTAAGATGACGGGAACTCTACGTAACATCCTGACCTAAGCCCTATAAATAGAGAAGGCTAATTGACGTTTAGAAGTACGCAATCCTAATTCAATTTCTTGATTTTTCTATAGAGATTACTTCTCACACTGACTTGTTCGTCGGAGCCTACTCCACCGGTAACACACCGGTGTTTGTAGGATCATTTTTTCTTCTCTTTATTCAGGAAGTCAGATCAGATCCGGGTTGCGCAGAATCCATCATCAACAGGTTGGATTAGAAATTGGTATGGCTTGTTATTGAATACTTACTCATTGGGTAAGAGAGATCATCATCTGTAGTCTCATAATAAAAAACTACTACTTTATTCAACCCAACTTTCCCGTTAACCTTTCCTAGTATATGGGGAGTTTATCCGTTTGCTTGTGGGTGATGGTGGGGTTGATGGTGGTGGTTGCCGTATGTGTGTATTTAAGAAAACAGTGTGTGCATATTGGGTTAGTTTTTGGCCATTAAAATAAGTTTTAGAACAAGGTTAAAATGGTACTTTCATTATAGAAATTGGTCAATCCACAAGTCAAAGGGTAATAAAGTCAATTTACCTTGTGTTAGAGATGGTTGGGGTATCATTGTTAACTTTACCAAACCTAAAGGGATGCTATTGTTCCAAAATAGACTAACTTTCATATGGCTATCAATAGAACAAACTTTAAGGGGTATGAGTGTAATTAACCCAAGAAAGAAAGAGAAGTGAGAAACTAACCAGGGAAGAACAGAAATAGAGCTCTCTATAGTTAGGGTTGCGTTTGGTCATGCCTAAAAGAAAGAGCCAAAGAAGCTTCTTTTTTTATATATTTTTATTTTATTTATTTATTTTTTGTTGCAACGAAAGTCATAAAAGAAGGGGAGAAATTTGTGAAAAGACTCGAAAAGGGTGATCATTTTGATAGTGGGTTAAGTGTAAAAATAACCTCTTAATTGTCTATATGCAAAATAGTATAAAATTCCTGTATATTGGTGCAATTATTCCACGTTCGCATAAAAAGACATTAATATCCTCTCTAAAATAAATTTCAAGGTTAAGTGCAAAAAAAACCCTCATATATAGGGTTTGTGCACAAATAATCCCTATGTTTTGAAAATGTGCATTTCAGTCCATAAAATTTTAAAAAAGTGCAAATAAACTCCTCTGACCACTTCTTGGTCAAAATTGACATAAAATAAATTCATAAACCCTATTTTGTCCTTTTCTTTTCCTATTCTACCCTTCTCTTTTACGTTCCACCACCACCACCACCACCACCACCACCACCATTATGTTTATTCTGGCCATTCAATTCAACCCCATACCCAAAGTTCATCGCCGAAACATACAAAGAAGAACAAGGATAAAAATTAAATAAAACAGTTACACAAATAATGAAGGATAAAGTTGTAAAATTTGTGTTCAAAGTGGGCAAAGAATGGGGGAAGCTGAGCTCTCTTTGTTCTTATTAGAAAAATGAAAAAATGAAAATAATAAAATAGAGCAAAAGAGAGGAAAGTTTTAAGTCACGCCTTTGAAGTTCAGAGCTGAATCTTGTTTACTTTTGAAGTTGGGTCTTGTTTTTTGTTCTTTTCTTTTTACTTTTTATATGAAATGCAATTAGGCTAAAGTGCTGGGCTTTATACTCAAATCCTTTGCCAAGAATAAGTTGTAGACCCAATAAATCCAACATAAGAACAAAAAACTCGATTCTTCCGAATTCCAATCCTATGGATCCTACTGTTATCATTCTTCCAAGTGATTTTCATGTGATCTAGATCTAAATTCTAATAGGCATGATTTGAAGCAAAGCAACCAAATCGATCTGTGGTTGCGTCCTCTGTTGATGAACAACAGATCTTACAAGGGGAGGAAAAAGATGAGGTTGCCGTGACCGAGGCAATATTCAAGATGATCTTTCAGTACATCTTCCGTATATCTTTATCAATGTTAGGCACTCATAAACATTCTTCTCTTGCAGGTTGCCTTGGGCACTTGACCAAGAGTTCCAAGCCTTTACTCTGTACAAGTGACTGCTGCCAGACGCACCTTTGGCCATGTGACTCGGCCTTCACCAATTGGTGTAAGTATTTATGATTTATTTTCTCATTCAAGCCTCGACTTGCTTTACAAAATTCCTTTCCTTCACAGGCTGGCTCAAGTTCTCAGTTCTAACCGCCCGTTCAAACTTATGGCACGATCGATGATTTTGATGCTTACTTCTCCAAAGTATAAGCTAGGTTCGATCTAGATCCCTTGATGAGTGAACCTGTTATCGTGCCTACACCTCCCAGTCATTTGGCAGATATTGAGGGAGCAAAAAGATTACTAGTTGCCGTCGTGTCCCAAGACCTTTTTGAGATGCCAAGTTTAGCTGCTAATGTGACCGATGCTATGTCTGTGCTAGTAGATCATCATGACTTAAAGTCAAGAACAGATAAACCATCTTCAATCTGTCCAAGGTCGATTCCCGACTGTTGTTTCTGATTTCTAGCTTTCCTCACAGAAGGCTGGTGAGCTGTTGTCCACGATCAATGAAAAGCTGCAAGAGCAAAAATCTCTGACTAAACAAGTGAAGGAAAATGTTTCCCATTTTCGTACCTTACAATCAGCTCATGTTAAGGGAACCCAGAGAACAGCAGAAATTAAAAGGGAGATGGAGCGTCTAGCTGGAATTGATTAAGACTTTCCGATTAAGAGATGAGCTCAATGCTCAAATAAAAGAGATACTATGAAAAGAATATGGAAATTGACCAGCTGAGAGTATTGGTCTCAAAAGAAATTCCTCGACTGAGGGCTGAAAAAGCCAAAGAGGATGAAAAAGTGGCCATGTCTAAGAAGGAGTGAGATGAGCTCAGGAGTCATTTTATTTATCTGCAAAGAAAATGATATGTAATGACTCTTATGAACTTTTGTACTTAAAGGAACAATGACTGAAATGCATATCTTGTGGCTTTTTTTTATTATTTAACTATCTTTGGTTTCATTCTCCATTGTCTCCCACATTGTAGAGCAATAAGTTTTTAAGTACCGGCCATTAATTGGTCTGGGATGTATCTCCCCGTCGAGATCTTGTAGATGATATGCGTCTCCTTTTAAGACTTTGTAAACCATAAATGGACCCTCCCAATTTGGTGACCATTTTCCATATTTTCGATCATTCACACCTATTAGGAGGACAGTCTTCCAAACCAAGTTACCTTCGCCGAAGGTTTTAGCCCTAACACGCTTGTTATATGCCCTTGCTACTCGCCTCTTCTGAACTTGTATGTGGTCGAGAGCCCTTAACCTCACTTCATCTAGGTCTTTCAATTCAATTAACATAGATTCATTGTATTCCGTAGAAGTCAAATTGTTTTGCAATGCGAATCTCATTGACCACACAGTGACTTCTATGGGCAAAACTGCATCATGACCATAAGTGAGCATGAATAGAGTTACACCTGAGCTTGACCGTTGAGAAGTCTTGTATGCCCAAAGTGTTTCTGATAACAGTTCATGCCACACTCTGGGGTTGTCTTCCACCATTTTTTCAATGATGCCTTTTAACGTCTTATTAGACGACTCGGCTTGACCATTTCCTTGTGCAAAATGCAGGGTTGAGTTTAGGAGCTTGATCCCGTACTCTGCTGCAAATGCCTGCACTTCCTTAGCAATAAGGGCTAAACCTCGATCAGTTGTGATTGATTCTGGGATCTCAAATCTATAAATAATATGCTGCTTGATAAATCGAATCACATCTTCCTGGTGCACCGATTTCATAGACACCGCTTCGACTTATTTGGTAAAATAGTCAATTGCCATAATGACAAAACAATGTTGTTTAGAAGAAGGTGGATAAACTTTCCCTATCAAATCCACAGCCCAGCCCCTAAAAGACTATGGTTTTATGATTGGTTGTAACTCAATCGCCAGGGCACTATGGATTGGCCCATGCCTTTGACATGCTTGACATCCTTTAGCATATTTGATGCAATCTTTAAGCATCCCGGGCCAGTAATAAGCATACCTTCTAATTAGCCATTTTATTTTTATTCTAGCCTGGTGAGCACCACATATCCCTTCATGGGCCTCTCCTATTATTTTCATGGCTTCTTTTTTACTGACACACCTTAAGAGTAGGTCATCTTTGATGCTTTTCTTGAATAGGTCTCTATCAATCATCACAAACTTAAGAGCTTTGATCTTTAGCTTCTTGTCAGCCTTAAGGTCTAGATTTTTAAGAAAGCCAACGATTGGTGTTCTCCAATCATTTTCCTCTATATCCTCTTCCACCTCGATTATGAAGACTTCTGCCGACAATTCTTCCCTCAACTTGACTGAGGGTAATGATTTTTTCTTTATTCTGATCAAATTCTCTATTATTCCTTCTGGCATCCTGACGCTAGATGCTATTTGAGCTAAATCATTTGCCTCTTTATTATGCGATCTATAAACATGCTTGACCTTTACATCTGCAAATTCTTGTAGTAATTGCATGGCTATAGAGTGAAATGGTTTGAGGTGCCAACTTTGGCACCTAAAATTACTGAACAATTGACCGATCACTAGACTTGAATCACCTATGATCTCAACGGTCCGTCCCCCATTTCTAAGAGTATTTCAAGACCGATAATCAAAGATTCATATTCTGCTTGATTGTTAGAACATTTGAGTCTATAAAGAAAGAATATATTGTTTTCCTTCCATTTGGTGCAACGATTACAATTTCAGCCCCTCCGACATCATTTGTGCTTGACCCGTTAAAGATTAAAGTCCAAGGAGTTAGTTGAATAACGCACAACTCCATTGCATCATAGATTCCCAGATCAACATCCAAGCATGGATGGTCGGCTAGGAAATTAGCAAGTGCTTGGCCCTTTACAGCCCTTTGAGGCACATATTAGAAACTGAATTCCATGAGGGCTAAGCACCACTTGCCTATTCGTCCAGAAATTATTGGACGAGAGAGCATATACTTAATTAGGTCAGTGGCACAAATCACATAAACTAAAACAGGTAGCATATATATTCTCAACTTGTGAGCAGCAAAATACAAAGCAAGACACATTTTTTCGATTGGCGTATATCGACGCTCAACCGGTGTCAAAATATGACTAAGGTAATACACTGCCTATTCTTTTCCTACTTCATTATCTTGGGCTAACAAATTTCCAAATGACTCATCTGCAGCTGAAATATATAATTTAAGCGACTGTCTCTTCCTAGGCGGCATGAGGACAGGGAGATTAACAAGATATTCCTTAATTGATTCAAAAACATGTTGGCGATGCTTTTCCCATCGAAAGTCTTCCTATGATTTGAGCTTTAAAAGCGGAAAAAAGGTATGGATCTTTCCAGCACGGTTTGAAATAAACCTTCCCAAGTATGTGATTTGACTAATCAATCTTTGCAACTCCTTTTTGTTACGAAGTGGTTGAGCTTCGATGATCGCCATAGCTTTATTCTTGTCGACCTCAATACCCTTGCAATGCACCAAAAATCCCAGAAAATTGCCCGCTGTTACTCCAAAGGCGCATTTAAGTGGATTCATCTTACAACCATGAGCTTTTATTCTCTCGAATGAACTCCTCAAATCTACCAGATGCTTTGCTTTTGTCGCTGATTTTACCACCACGTCGTCAATGTATACTTCCATAAATTTTCCAATCATATCATGGAAGATTGCATTCATAACTCGTTGATAAGTGGCTTCAGCATTCTTCAAACCAAAGGGCATTACCACCCATTTGAAAGTGCCTATGGCTCTCGGATATCTAAATGCTGTCTTATTAACATTATCTTTTGCTATGAATATCTGGTTATATCCTGAGTGACCATCCATGAATGGCAGAATCTCATTATTGGCGGCCGCATCAATCAATTAATTGGCCATGGACATCGGATACTCATCTTTTGGGGTAGCTGAATTTAAATTTCTGAAATCTACGCATACCCTTATCTTCCCATTCTTCTTAAGCACGGGAACAATATTGGATAGCCAATCACAATACCTCGTTGTTTGGATGAATCCTGCCTTGAGCAATATCTCAATCTCTTCCTTTATTTCATAGTCACTTCTGTTGACATACGTCTAGGCGCTTGCTTGAAAGTTCTAAAACCTTCTTTTATAGGTAGTCGATGCTCGGCTAGTTGCCTTGGTAATCCCGGCATTTCAGTGTAATTCCAAGCAAAACAATCTTTATATTCTTTAAGCAATAACATCAACTCAGCTTTAAAGTCAGGTTCTAGAAGGTCACTTACGTAGGTTGGCCGAGGCTCTTCTTCTGATCCCAAATTGATCTCCAACAAGGGATCTTGAACATCTGCCTTCAAGTCCTCTAGCTTGGCTGGAGCTGCATCTAATTCTTCTAACTGAATAACATCTCGAAAACCTCCTGACTCACATTCTTCTATGATTTCGGCCATATTGGCCGACATAACACTCCATAACATTGCCCGTCTTTCGGCGAGATACGCTCTCAGCCATACCATGCTAGCTTTAAATGCTAGCATCTTTTCCTCGTCCTTTTGGTTTTGAGCCATCAACAACCTATTATTCGTCAATCTCAACAATCGACCTTGGCTTGTGGATAACACTTGGCCTCGATAGTTCCTTGAATAACTCAGATAGGTCCCCGTCTGTCAGATTTCTTCGCATTATCGCCTTCTCAGGCTTGCCATACTTGTCACATCCAATGAGACTCACATGACCCATTTCTTCCTCATATAAAACAACATTTGCCACATAGACCCGAGCTTCGAAAGGTTTGTTGTCTCCCCATATGACTTGGACCTCATCCCCATCCCATAAAATCATGAACTAGTGAAGGGTAGAAGGGATGCAAAAATATGGGTGTAACTAATCACGCCCAATTCAAGCATTGTACGCCGCTCCTGCGTCGACCACAAAGAATGCGGTCATAGTCTTACATTTTCTAATTGTCATTTCCAGGGTGACCATACCTTTGATCCTAGCTCTGCTCCCAGTGAAATTATTGACTGTCAAGTCCATGGGAATTAAATCATCTTCTGTTTTTTGCAACAATCTCATGGTGTTCATCGGAAGGATATTGACCGCAGAACCATTATCTATCAATGCTCGTGACACCGGCATCCCTTCTAGGAAAACCTTAATGTAAAGTGGTTTCAAATGTTAAGACATTGCCGTAGAAGGCTTCTCAAAAATCACCCTGGCTGCTTGATCCTTCCCAATAACCGCCGACTCATCACCATGTGGTTTAGCTCTTATCACAACGATTTTCTGTTTCTTATCTTGGATGATCGATTCAGATGAGTTTTCGATAATCTATGGAACTTCTTGGCCTTCATCCTCGATCACCTCAACGTCCCCCTCCATAGTGGAGGGTTGATCAGGCTTAGCCTCAAAAATATGAGGCAAAGTAAGAACCATGTTACAGTTTATAATTCCTTCAAAAGAACCAAACTTAGATACTTTTTGAGTCATCTAGATCGAGTTCGTCATCACCAAATTCTGCTTCATCATCAGCTTCTTTCATAAATGAAGACGCACATTTCTCTTTCGTGCCTCCATTCCCATCTGCATTATCCTCCTTAAATTTTCCTTTCGGATAATTTCTTAAATCATGCTTAGCAGGTTCTCTCCTAAGCAAAGTCACTTTCTCTGGCTGTGGAGCTGAATATTTTTTTTCCATCCTTCTTAACTCAGTTTTCATCCGCTGCCAACGTCTCATCTGAGTGCGAGACATGAATGCTGGCGGGATATCCCTGACCTTAGAGAACTTTGGATGACTCATCCTTGACCATCGACCATCATTAGTGGCTGGTGGCTTGACCATCCTTTGCCTATGGTTTAGGTGGTCAACTCTTGGCCCGGCGAGCCACATTTGAGTTAGGCTCCCTAGGCTTCCAAACAGTATGGGTTGGGTTCCTTGCACGACTGTTGGAGTTCACTTCTCACCTTCACTTGTGATGCTTATTGATATTAGACCTCCTGTCAGGCCATGTTAATCGGCTAGTCAAAGGTACCCTAGACGAGGGTGACCTAGGTCTGTTTCCATGATGTGAACTTCCAGGACGTCCCCGAGTGTCGCCATGGAACCTTTCTCGATCCCTTCCAATGTATGTGTTGCATTTAGGGCATAATCCCTGCTTAATCAGTGATAGTTAAGCTTCCCTTAACCTTTTTTTCCAAGTCATCTTTGGACCTTGGAGTTTCCTCAACCATTAGCTTCTTTCCTTCAGCCTTGCTTTCTCTGTTACCCGAAGAATCCTCAAAATCAATTCTTCTTCGTGGCTTACTGGCCATTGAGATCTTGACCATGTTACTATTGACCAAGGCTGGGAATGGATCGCTGTCAACGCTCATCACTTCTTTCTTCTTCTCTGGAAACTTCCATGCCCCCTTCTCAATTTGTGCTTGAATCACATTACGAAAGACAACACAGTTATTAGTTGCATGATTCCTGGAGTTATGATATTTGCAATACTCTCGACCTTTGATCTCGTCAACTGAGGGTATTTTATGCACCCCAGTGACTTTGATAATTTTATCAGACAAAAGGTGGTCAAAGATTTATTCTGCTTTATTTATATCAAAAGCATATTGTTTGCCAGCCTCAAAGATATTCTTTTTGGCTGAAGATGATGAGGGTTGAACACCACTAGCGGTCTCTATAGGCTTAGCTAAAGCTTTACAAACATATGGCTTTTTTGAAATAATTTCAACAGCATCGACCTCTAAGTTATTGTATACTGTGTCAACCATATGTATTTCGTAATTGGGGTCCTTATAATAGGTCCCCCGAGAGGAGTTTTTCCTCTCGTTTTCCTCTCGTAGGATTTTTTCATACTTGGTGATCTTATCGGCTAATTGGAATAAATCTCCAAAATGAGTACTCTCGAATTTCTTTCGTAGTTCGAATTCTAAGCCGCTAAGAGCCAAGTTGACAAACTCTTCTTCAGGTAAAGTAAGGTGGCACTTATTTCGTGCCTTCTTAAACTTAGCCAAAAATGTCTTAACATCCTCATTTGGCAACGGATGGATCCAAGATAGGTCGAACATAGAAACTTCTGGTTCTGTCTTATAGAACTGATCATGGAACGCATCCTGCATTTGTTGCCAAGTGTGGATGGAATTTTGTGGCAAGTTTAGATACCACTTGAAAGCAGTCTCAGTGAGAGTGTTGGAGAATAGCTTCATTTTATACCAATCGTTGTTACTAATTAGCCCACATTTTAACGTAAAACGGCTAATATGCTCAAGATTCGATTGGTTGCCTTCTCCTGAGAAAGTTGCAAAGTTTGGCACCCGAAAATTATGATGAAGATCCATCCGATCTATACAATCAGGAAATGGGTGCTTGAAAGTAGGTCGAATGGCCCTTTTCAAAGCTGGTCCATACTGTTTTTGTATGACCTCAGCTAATTGGTCCCTAGTCATGACCATAGGCGGGGCTTGGTTATGAAAAAGAACATTAGGCCAAGGGTTATGTCCCTCTTGTCCTCTTGGGTTCGCA